TGGATGCGTAAGTCATTCTTCCAGGAAGAGGTGGATCTCTTTCTACTCTCTAGTAGAACCCAGTGGAGTGATGCTCTACCAGTCCCAGACCTAGCTGTTAAGAATCCCGATGACTTCCATCTTTGCTCTCTTTGCCAGGTAAAGGAACTCAGGCCAGATGACTGAATAAGGAAAGATTTCTTGGAAAGAGAGGGGCCATGCAGAGCACACTGTATGAAAGGATTGGAGCTTTCCTGGCCCTTCCAGTCCAACCCGGTCACTCACTGAATGCAGTTGAGTGAGTGACCCCTTGCCCATGCTACACGGAGCAGAAAATCAATCCATCAGAGTCCTGCCTAAATTCTTAACCCACAGAATCATTAAAAATTGTAAATTGTGGTTGTTGGCAGTCAGTAAGTATCGGGTGGTGTGTGATGCAGTACAGATAACTGAAACAGTCTAGCTGGAATTAATTTCCTTTCTTGCAAGCCAAATGTCCTAACTAGTATAGAAAGTTTACAGCAGTCAGGGCATGAAAAATAAATTCTGAGATCCCACTTAGCCTTGAATAAGGAATGTGGGGCAAAATGAGGCTCTTTAATGAGTTTCCCTTCTGGCTGTCATCCTTCCCTCCAGGGATGCTGAAGAGAGCAGAGCTTGATTGTGGGCTGAGTAGTGAGTGAAGGTTTAGATACCCTCTTGGTCAAAAGCAAAGAGGCTCCAAGGCGAGAACCAGCTCTAGTCAGCTGCATCGCCTAGGACTCCCTGGGGCATCTAACTCTAGCTAAACCTCCTGGGACACCTGAGGCTGATTCTTACTTGGAATTCCCCACAGCCTTAGGACCATGGAGATAAGTTCTGACAGTTCTGGAGGTAGAAACAGGTTAGTAAGATCGCTGGGAAGGAATCACTGGGCCAGTATAGAAGGGATTCTAGCTTCTAGCTCCCCCAAAGGTGAGTGAAGTCGGTCAGTCATGTCCAACTCTTTTTGACCCCATGGACTGTAGCCTACCAGGCTCCTCTGTCCATGGAATTTTCCAGGCATGAGTACTGGAGTGGGTTGCCATTTACTTCTCCAATGTCCCCTCCAAACCTAAGCTTTAAATGTTCCCATATTCTGCAGAGTCTAACAATTTGAGGTCAGGCCTTCAGGAAAGACACCTAATAGTTAGGAGCGTAATTCTGAGAGTCAGCCAGAGAGGGACATGTCTCTTAGCTCTGTGTGACCTTGGACAAGTGACCTAGACTTTCTAAGCCTCAGTTTCCTCAGCTGCAAAATGGGGATAATAATAGAACCTACTTGATCAGGCTGAGATGAGCAGTTAATGAGTTAAACCTATATGAAGTTTTTAGATTCAGTGTTTAGCACACAGGAAATACTCAGTCTATAAATGGTAATGATTGCTTATTATATAAACAATTGACTTCGCATGTCTCCCAGATGACTGTTAGGTAACAGAAAAGGAAGTTCGGCATCACAGAGCTGGTGTCTGGGGCCAGAAGGGGACACAGTTATATCCACAGGTTTAATAGAGCTCGCTTGCTGAGAGGGGCAGCCAATAACATGGTACAGGGTCCTCCACCAGTCACCCCCAAATACTGTACAATCGGATCAGGAAGGATCCTGAGACCCAGGCTGACCTGTCTTACTGGATGGGTGGGGAACTGAAGCTCCCAAGGCTCATTAACTGATTCTCAGGTTCTGGAGGGGGAGCCCCAATGGCACCCCATTTTCAGCCTCACTCTGTGTCTGGTGTGTCACTCTCCTTTCATCTGATTCCACTCTGATCCTCTCCCAGGGAAGTGTGGGTTGAACAGGAATGAGGGCAGGTTCGAGCTCATAAGACACAAATAGCATGGGTTTGCCTCTGGCAATGCTACCAGCAAGGGCTGGCAGCTGGAAGGGTGCGGGGAAACAGCGGCAGCCAGAATCCTCCAGGACTGTCCTCCCTCCTGGCAGGATGAGAAAATGTAGTGTCTCAGAAAGGGGAAACTCTGTCACCATGGGCTTGGCCCCGGCTTCACTGGAAGGCTCTCAGATCTCCTTCAGGGGAAGCCAGGGGCTTGCCAAACCACAGTCTCAGGCATAATTCTAGAATGGAGGCCTTGTGTAAAGAAACGCATTTCCTCAGCAAACGCGTTGTTAAATGATCATCACCATTAACTGAGCACGTGCTCTGTGCCAGGCACCATGGCATGTGAATTATTTTGCATGTGAATTAAACATTCCCAGAGAAGTGTGTGCTAAGTTATCCCTGTTCTTGTTGTCCTTCAGTTGCTAAGTCGTGTCTGACTCTTTGCGACCCCCTGGAATGCAGCACACCAAACTTCCCTGTCCTTCACTATGTCCTGGAGTTTGCCCAAACTCATGTCCATCGATGATGCCATCCAACCATCTCATCCTCTGTCACCCACTTCTCCTCCTGCCTTCAATCTTTCCCAGCATGAGGGTCTGCAGAGGCTCAAATCAAAGGCACCTGCTTCCTGTGTATTCATAACATCATTTTCCATCCAGGAATAAAATGATCTGCAGAGCTCCCCCATTCTGCAGATGAGGAAACTGAGGAAGGAGGAGCTCAAGTGGCTTGCCTCAGGTCACACAGGGGATAAGAAACAGGGCTGGAATTTGAACCCAGGTCTCTCTGACTCCGGGGCCTCAGGGTTTAACTGCTGTGCTCTCCCACTACGTCACCAGATCATGCAATGCAGCAGGACATGGGGGGCGAGGCAGGGAGCCCACCTACCCTGTTCTTGATTGTTCAAGCTAGAATCCACTTAATTCACAGAGATCCCCTTAATTTACACCCAAAGGCAGCCCAGTTAACAGGGATAGATTCTGATATAAATCTAAATTAGCCAGTTGGAGTGTCTTTGGAAATTTGGACCCTGGACTACAAAATTCCAAGCTCTCCAGCCTCATGGCCACAGGAGATGCAGGCAGAAACTGGCTTGGGTGGGTGGGAGGAGCATTGTCTACTGTGTTCACAAACTCACTCAACACATACTTTACTGCACACCTACTATGTATTAGGTCCGGGGATTCCACCGCGAACAAAACAGGCAACAATGTCTACACTCAGGAATCTCATCATCTGATAGGGAGAGACATACAACAGTCAAACTCAATGTAAAATACAAAGTGTGTGTTAGCTGGTGGGAAAGTGCTATGTAGGAAAAAGGTTGGAAGTTCTTGCCTCCAAGCAAGAATTTAACATCCCTATCCTTCTGCAAGGATATCCCTTCTGCAAGGCTGAGGCCCCTTGCTGGTTGAAGTGAACACACACTCAAGCTCACACCCACACACTCACAAGACCTCCAGCCTGAACAACTCCTCACTCCTGATTTATCTTATCTTTTTAAAAGCAAAATAAAAACTCAACCCTGTAAGCAAACCCCTCAAGACCTTTCCCCTTTAGCAACCTACTCAGGAAGCTGATGGAGGGCTGAAAACAAGCTGACTCCACCTTTGCCAGGTTATCTGTCACTTGTCAACATCACCTCTGATCGCCCCAGCCTACCCTGAATAAAATGATCTGCAGAGGCTCAAATCAAAGGTGCCCACTTCCTATGTGTTCAGAACATCATTATCCACCCAGGAATCTTGTTGACCCCCTGCTGAGTGGATGGACAGGGAGATGAAAGGACACCCAGTGCCTAACCAGTTGTAAGCAGTCAGCAAAGGCTGCTCCCCACTCTGCCCCAGGGAAGAAAGGTCTGGGAAGGAGGTGACATCTCGGTGACCCCTCCCATTTCCCATCTGAGGTTCAGTCTTGGAGGACCGCTTGGTGGCCTCCCTGAGTCCTGGCAGTGAAAACTTCTACCCATGCCATGAACCTCACCCCCCACCCCCCAACACACACATACTCACTCTTCTCTTCTCCCAGGCACGCCTCCCCTCTCACTTCCTCATCCACTCCTCCCAAGCCCACCTGCTACCGCTCCCTCTCTCTCTAACACTGCCCTGGCTCACTGATGATGTCACTCCCTGACACACACACGCCACACATCCTTCTTCCATCCCTTATGTGCTTTTGTTACCTCTGCCCTCCAAACCCCACTTTCCCCCTCCCTCCTACCATTAATTAAACGCAAAGTATGCCCAGGCCACCTGATGCGAAGAACCAACTCATTGGAAAAGACCCCGATGCTGGGAAAGACTGAGGTGGGAAGAGAAGGGGATGACAGAGCATGAGATGGAATGGCATCACCGACGCAATGGACATGAGTTTGAGTAAGCTCTGGGAGTTGGTGATGGACAGGGAGTCCATGGGGTTGCAAAGAGTCAGACATGACTGAGCGACTGAACTGAATTGAATGCCCAGGCCTGGGCCAGGAACGATACAAGCATCACTTCACACCTTATGACTGTCCTGTGGGACGATGACTTTTATTCCCCCATTCTAAAGACAGTAAACCGAGGCTCAGGGGTGAAGCAATGCAGCTGGTAAGCGGGGAGTGGGGATGGAACCCTGAGTTCCTGGCGTCCAGACCCACCAGCTTAACCTCTGCAGCCTCACTCTCATGCTGGCTCCCCTTTAGGAAGGATTTCTCCCGTTCTCTCATATAGTTCATTTCAGGCGTGCGCTCTCTTTCCCGTACTGTGTCTTTGAAGTAGACTTGCTCCCCCTTACCTCGCCCTCAGCTGTACACCTGCATGGCCTATGTCACTAGAACACATTTCTGTGCAGCCGAAATGGTGAGACACCTGTGCTCATACATACACCTCCAGCCTCCAGAGACAATCTCCCATCTGCCTCTGAGAAGGTACCCCCTTCTCCATCTTTAATGCACCCCCAGCCCAGATGTCCCCCTCCCCAGCTAGCCCCCAGACCACTCTCTCTGTTCTCTTTTCTCCTCTCCCAGCTCTCTCATCTGCTGCACCGATTCCGGTTCTGCCTGAGTGGGTGCCTCAAACTCCAAAGGCAGCCCTGCCCCGTCCCCTCCCCCAGCACCGCGCCCTGGGCAGCACGGCCTCCCCGCCCTTGACGGCTCTCAGAATGGAGGGAAGCGCGGGGTCTCACCCGATTCGCTCCTGCTCCATCTCTTCCATCTTCTCAGCGCGAGCGATCACCCTGTTGATGATTTCCTTCTCCTCATCTGTCAGCTCTTCCTGTTTCCTCTGTCTGTCCGGCTGACCGCTAGGGTGGACAGACCATCCTGTCTGGAGCCTGAAAGGTAATTTGGGAAGGTGTGAGGCTGGAGAGAAAGTAAGCCATTGTGATTAGGCTCTAGCCTGTGGAGTCTGGTAAACCTCAGTTCAAATCCCTTCAAGCAAAAGAATCCCAACCTCTCAGAGCCTCAGTTTGCTTATCTCTACAATGGAGCACATGGGGGCTTTGCAGGTGGCACAGTGGTAAAGAATCCACCTGCCAATGCAGGAGACGCAGGAGATAGGGGTTCAATTCCTGGGTCAGGAATGTTCCTCCGGAGGAGGACATAGCAACCCACTCCAGTATTCTTGCCAGGAAAATCCCATGGACAGAGGAGACCAGTGGGCTGCAGTCCATGGGGTCGCAAAGAGTAAGACATGACTGAGTGACTGAGCATGCACTCGCGCACACACACACACATACACACAGAGTGGGGAACATGTACATCCTTCATAGGGTTCTGCTAAGTTTATTTTTCTTAAGTGCTCAGCATGTGGCAGACACTCTTGACTTGACATTTGCAGGAAGTTCATGGAAACCTGGGCTTCCCCTGTGGCTCAGACAGTAAAGAATCTGCCTGTAACGTGGGAGACCTGGCTTCTATCCCTGGGTTGGGAAGATCCCCTGGAGAAGGGAACGGCTACCCACTTCAGTATTCTGGCCTGAAGAATTCCACGGACAGAGAAGCCTGGCGGGCTACAGTCCATTGGGTTGCAAAGAGTCAGACACAACCGAGCAACGTTCACTTTTCTTGGAAACCTGGAGGATAATGGTGTTCTCAGGAAAAGAGTCCAAACAGTAGACTTCTACAATTGGAGTGGAAAAGATTCTGGGAGAGTGGTCTGAAGCCCTGGATACCAGGTTGACCCCAACCCCTACCTGGCACAAATATGTTTAGTGTGGGCCACAGAATTTTTTTTTTTCAAATTTAAACTAGTTGCCAACTAGTTGTATAAAAATCTCTCCATTTCCCACAAACATCTAGATTTCCTGCCTCCAAAGCTCCTGTAGCATTTTAAGTTCCATCCTGTGCTCTTCTTGACTTTTTCGTTTCAATAAAAAAGCAAACACTGACATGGACTCCCCAGGTGGCGCTAGTGGTAAAGAACCTGCCTGCCCATGCAGGAAATGTAAGAGATGTGGGTTTGTTTCCTGAGTTAGGAAGATCCCCTGGAGGAGGGCATGGCAATCCACTCAATTAGAATCCCATGGACAGAGGAGCCTGGCAGGCTACAGTCCATGGGGTGGCAAAGAGTCGGACACAACTGAAGTGACTTAGCAGCAGCGAATACTGACATACCGCCTCCTGGAGGCCCACATTACTTCATTTAATCCTCACAACATTTCTACAAGGCAGGGATGGTTATTGTCTATTTTCTGGTGAGGAGAGCCGGGTGTGGAGAAATTAGACAACTTGCCAGAGGTCGCACGGCTGGGAAGTGGCAGAGGTGGAATTCAGACCTGGGCAGCCTGCACACTTAACCTCCCCAATATGAGGTGAATTGAATGCCTGTCTGTGTAGCCCCAGGGATGGTGCAGGGGATCAGAGCTGGGTAGACAGCTAATGCTACAGTCTATGGCAAATAAGCATTCTTTCCATTAATAATATCCTCCAACCCCCAGGCGCTGAGGGGCATCGCTCAAGTGGAATGCAGGGCTCAACACCACTAGAAATTCTTGTCCCTGTTGGGGGAAAAAAAAAATCAGTAATTACGAATCCCCTGGAGCTAGCACCCCATTAGCTGCCAGCCTCTATTACTTCCACTGCTCTAATCACGTCAGCAGGCATGAAATTGCCTTTTCACACTTAAAGTTGAAAATGAAAAGCCCCGTCTCCCCACCTCCTCCTTCCCCACCTCCTCTCACATCCTCCCACCTTAGCTGGTTTGTTCAGAAGAGCAGAGAAGGATGAGTTTGAAAGCAACTAGAAGCGGGCATCTTGTGAAAAAGAAGAGGGAGTGGCTGGGGGAAACATGGATGGAAACACGTCTTGCTTTGGATCAGGGGCCTCTGGGGATGAACAAATGCTAAACATACTCAAAGGAAGAAAGATCAATACGGCAGCCAGTCTACCAGATGGTTCCCCAGGATATCTGCCTCCTGGTATTCACTCTCCCTGTGTTGTCTTCTTTCACATTGAATCCCAGCTGGTGCTGTGTGGCCAGCTAAATACAATGGGTGTGACTGTGGGTGACTTCCAAGGCTAGGTCATGAAAGACATTGCAACTTCTGCCTTGGTCTCTTGGGTCATTCAGTCTAGGGGAAGTCAAAGCCATGTCATGAGGACACTCAAACATCCCTGTGGAGAGGAATTGAGCCCTCGCCCCCCCCCCCCCCACCCACCGGCCAACGCCAACTTGCCAGTGACCCTCTAGCCCTTGTCAAACCTTTAGATGGCCTCAGCCCCAGCCGAAGTATGACTGCAGCTCTGACAGGACCACCTAGCCAAGCCACTCTCAAGTATCTACCAATAAAATCTGCAAGAGGTAATAAGCAGCTACTGCTGTTTAAGCCACTGTGCTTGATGTGATTTGTTCTGTAGCATTGTTGTTGTTCAGTTGCTAAGTTGTGTCTCTTTGTGACCCCATGAACTTCAGTATGCCAGGCTTCCCTGTCTTTCTCTATCTCCTTGAGTTTGCTCAAACCCATGTCCATTGAGTCAGTGATCCATCCAACCATCTCATCCTCTGTCATCCCCTTCTCCTCTTGCCCTCAATCTTTCCCAGCATCAGGGTCTTTTCCAATGAGTCGACTCTTCACATCAGGTGGCCAAAGTACTGGAGCTTCAGCTTCAGCACCATTAGATAATTGGAAAAATCAACCTAGCAATGGATATAGATGGGGTGGAACAAAGCCCCATCTACAATGCCTATGTTCATGTTCGATTACTGCATAACAAGTTATTACAAACTTAGGGGCTTTACACAACACACATTTATTATGTCACAGTTTCCATGCTGGGAGTCCAGGCATGGCTTTGGGTCCTCTGCACAAAATCTTACAAGGCTGCAATCAGATGTCAGATGGGTCAGATTCCAGATGGCTCCAGATGGCTCAGATTGTATCTGGAGGCTTTCTAGGTGGAAGAACAAGCTTCCAGGTAAATCTAACTCATTTCCCAGCAGCTATGTGACCTAAGACTCCAACTTCTTGTTGGCTGTTGGCAAGAGGTCACCTCCATGTCCTGAAGGCAGGCTGCAATTCCTAACCAAGTGGACTTCAACTTCATCCCGTGGGCCACTTCCTTCATCAAGTATGCAAGGTGACTCTGCCACTCCAGTCAAGTGAGACAGAGTCTTACATAATATGAGGTAATCACAGGGCTGAGGTCCCATCCTATTTGCAGTATCCCATAGGTTAGAAACACAACCCTGGTCCTGCCCACACTCAAGGCAAGGAGGTTACACAAAGACATGAACACCAGGAGGGGAGGGCCATGGGGGATCACCTGAAAGCCTGTCTTACACAGCCTCCCTATGGGGTCCCTCCAGCCTTGCTTGCATGCTCCCTGTGATGAAGACCTCACTCTCTCATAAGAAGTCTATGCCATGCTATTGAAAAGATCTTCCTCAAGGTATGCTAATATCCCTCAGCCTGATGTTTCCTCCCATCAATTGCAAAGCATACACTGGATTCCTGTATAAGGAAGACCACCCCTTCTTCCCAAAGAGCCCTAGGTACAACCTCATCCAGCCACCTCCCCAGGTCCCTCTGGTTTTCCATGGAAATGGATGTCTCAACTACCCCTCTTCTTCCTCCTTCATCCCCACTTCTCTTTCTTCATCCTCTTCTAATCCCCCTCCATGTATTAAAAGTGAAGTGAAACTGTTAGTTGCTCAGTCGTGTCTGACTCTTTGTGACCCCATGGACTGTAGCCCTCAAGTCTCCTCTGTCCACGGAATTCTTCAGGCAAGAATACTGGAGTGGGTTGCCATTCCCTTCTCCAGGGCATTTTCCTGAACCAGGGATCTAACCTGGGTCTTCTGCATTGCAGGCAGATTCTTTACTGTCTGAACCACCAGGAAGTCTCCATGTATCTCCTGCCTTTAAAAAGCAGCTCAGAGACCCAGACAGAGCACACATGAGATGCTGGGTTATATACCCAGTAAAGACCTTTCATGGACACATTCCTACAGCTCACAGTATGGTCAGACCTGAAGTCAAAGCCTCTAACCCCACCACACAACTCTCTGGGATTAGCATGCACAGGAAATGCACAACTCCAGAAATACAAGCAGGAATAGGGGTCCCCAAGAGGCCCACCTAGGATAATTGCCTCCATCTGCAGATGAGCAGAAGGCCTGCTGGAGCTCCCAGCATCTCTCCAGACCTTACCCACTCCCCATCCTCTGCTCCAAAACACGAAGTTGACAAACAACTCATCTAGTGTTTGAAAATGTCACCAATTGGTTCCAGTGGGGATTCGCAAGCCTCCTGTGGATTTTCATGTTTTAATTTCAAAAGCAAACAGAGGAAACAAACTGGTTTTTCAAACCAAAGCCTTTGCTCTGAAGGGAGAGAATGGCCATATCTGGGCCTCCTGTGGGCTGGGGAGCATTGTGAACATGGGGGCCTTGAGAATACTCTAGTGACAAGAAAGTGGCACCCTTGCTAAGGATTCAGGCTCCATGTCCTTAAGACCAAAGTCCAGTGTTGGGATCTCATTAAAGACCAACAGTGAAAGTCACTCAGTCGTGTCTGACTCTTTGCAACCCCATGGACTGTAGCCTGCCAGGCTCCTCTGTCTATGGAATTCTCCAGGCCAGAATACTGGAGTGGGCAGCCATTCCCCTTTTCCAGGGGATTGTCCCAACCCAGGGATTGAACCCAGGTCTCCCACACTGCAGACAGATTCTTTACCATCTGAGTCACAAGGGAAGCCAAGAGTGAAGACCGAAGTGTTGCCTCCTTGGACCAGCTCCTCAGAGCATTGCATCCAATCCAGTAAATGCCTAGAGGGCCTGCTACACACCAACTTGAGTCCTCCTTGACCTAGTGGAGTTTAAGATCCAAATCCT